CGACTGATGCCCAGCCCGTCCCAAGCCGCAAGCAGTCCCCGAGCCGCGAGCAGTCCCCGAGCCCCGAGCAGTCTCCCCGCGACCGACCGACTGAACTAACCGCCCCCCCCCCAAGCATGACGTTCTATGGTATGGAATAGCTCTTTGGTCAGTTTGGGTTAGCTGTGCTAGCTGTGCTGTACTCCCAGCTTGTTATGTACCTGGGCAAGCAGGAGAAGCTCAAAAAGTCCTTGAGTAGTCTGAGCACTACTTGGCAACAGCTGAAAACATCAGTGTGTTATCAACATTCTTCTGGTACTAAATCCAAAACACAGCACTATGCTAGCTACTATGAAGAAAATTAGCTCTATCCCAGCCGAAACCAGGACATGTGGCTAATATGTATATACAAACAAACTAATTACAGAGCAGTTACAATAATGTTACCAACTGTTTTTGACTTGGCACTGCAGGTCTTGAGTTTGCACAACAAACAGCAAGTATTTCATGCTGAACAATTTCAGACCTGTAACTGTTAACTCTAGAAATTTTGACTAGGCCATAAGAAATAGGCATTGCCTATCCATTAAATATGAGCATCAAGAAAGACTGGGAGTCATTTCCCTCACAAACCACAAGAGAATAGAAAGGGACTGAGATTGACACTTGCTCCTCTTCTAGATGGATTTGGGATTTGAGGAACATGGCCATGAGATTGCTATGAAGAAGTGTAGTGGTAATCTGTTCTATTATTCCTTTAACCACAACAAGAATTCAGAGGTTGGAAGTAGGCAATCCGGCCCAACAGTACCCTTAAACCAATCTCAGATATGCACACTATTCTCTTTTACCATGTTATTATTAATTAAGGTGAAGAACAGGAAAACCTGTTTAAAAAAACCCAAAAACCCCATTTAACCAACAACCATACGCAATTAAGAAATGTCTACAAGAGCAGCGTGAAGCCCATCTCTGCACAGCACAGATTTCAGCTGCTGCATATGGCATTAAGGGCCCACAAACCAGTAGTGAAACTTGGTCAAACAAAGTAGCATCAGACTGGAAACAAGAGAGATCTAGGCGACCCTGCTCTAGGACAGCCAACAGTGCTTAACCAGAAAGAAAGGACCTCCTGCCAAGCCCACAGGTCCGTTGATACCGACAGCTAGCTTCCAGCATTTTTTACAACTAGTCAGCTGAAAGGAAGAAATCAACCCCTTTACAGCTAAGCAGTCAGCAACAGCAGGAGCACAGCAGCTGTTCAAGGTTTGAAGTGTTTGCCACCTCCTTGAGGACCGTAGCTTGAACTCTGTATTACGAATAACCCTGGTGTACTTCAGCCAAAGTGTTGACAGATCATATACATAAGACGTAAAGAGTAGCAACTGTTACCTTGGATTCCTTCTTGTCTTGCTTCTTCAAGAGGTGCATCTGAGGTCTGAGTCTTCTTTCCAGAGGTTATTTTCCAGGCAAAGACTCCCGATTGCAGTTCAGACTTCACTGATTACTGACTGCAGTTTAAGTGGAAGCACACAGATGCCAAGAGGAGATTCATTACAAGCCAGGCATCAGGTGGTATCTAACAGGAGCCTGGCTGGGCATTAAGAAACATCTAACCTAAGTGCTGGTGGCTAAATAATACACTTTCTTCACTGGTACTATGTAACCTCTTGGCTGCATCATTGCTAGCTGGCTTAACTGTGCAGGCTTAGAGAGCCCAGGGGACTCTACATCAGTACTGTACAGTTTGCTGCACTGAAAGGTCACTGTTAACCTTCAGTGTGACTGGCAACAACTCCGCACAGGATAAGACCAACTGCAAAGGCCTGAAAACCAGCCTCTGCTGCTCAATACCATCTCTTTTCCCTTGCTTTGCTGTTCTGCAGCTTGCAGGGCTGGGGCACTGAAAGCAAGGGCAGTTAGCCGTGCAGCTACTTCGTGTGTCCTCCAACAGAAACTACGCTCACTGCTAGTGAGCAAGGAGAGCAGGAAGGTGCCCTTAACTTGGTCTTCACCATGAGACACAACCAAGTGGCCAACCCCCTAAAGTAAAGCAGAGTTGGCTGTTACAAAACTGAACTAAAAACAGCATTAGGGTCAGTCACTACCATCCACCAGCAGCATCTACCAGCTTCCTAAATTAATGACAGCATCCATCACAGGTGTTTCTATAGTGCAGCTGTGATGTGTTGGGCATGCTCACTGTAGCTGAGGCTAAAGGAGAGAGAATAGCTGGGGTTTGGCTTCCCAGTGAAGAAGATAAAGTTGTGTTGCTAGGTCACATCAGGCTTCTGGAAAGTAAAATGCTGCCAGGGGCCTGTAGGGGCTGATGGACTGACTTTTGTAGGGGAAAGGATGCTTGTGTAGAGTAACCAGATTTAGGAAAAAGAACAGGAATTTGTGTCCTGCCTGTGACTAGGTTATTAACAAAATGAAGACACCCCATCTACTGAGAGAAAGCAGAGACGGCAAAGAACTTTTAGCCAAACTGTTAGCCATTATCTATTCTTTGTTAGCAATTACCTAATTTCAGTG